GCGCCGCGGCCGACGTGGAGCGCGGGAGCGAGCGCCGCGCGGCGCGCGCCGCCGCGCAGGCGTGGCTCGACGAGCATGCGCCGCGTGCCACGGGGCGCGAGGCGCTCCTCGCGAAGAAGAAGGAGCGCGCCGCGAGCCACCGCGCCATGGCCGAGCGCCGCCAGCTGGACGACGACGTGGCCGATGGGCTGTCGGAGGACGCCCTGCTCGGCACCGACTCGTCGTTCGCCGCCGCGTACGTCGTGCTACTCACCCAAGACTCGCTGAGCGCGAGCGTGCGGCAGCGCGGCGTGCCGAGGCACGCAAAGAAGCTACGTACGCCCGAGACGCGCGCCTCGCGGCGCGGCAGCGCAAGGAGGCTGATACCATGGCACAACTTCGTCAGATGGCGGCCAAGCGCTATGGCTGACGGGGTCCCTGTCGGAGCTCGGCCCACACGGCCTCCACCTGCTTCTTGAGGTCCGCGTAGCTGACCACGACGCAGTTCCGCTCGTCGCGGCTCGTAAGCATGATCTTCTCGTCGGCGCCCGCATCGAGCTTGTTGAGGTGCACGAGCGTGTGGCTGAGATCGAGCGCGGGGCGGCCGTGCTCGTCGACCGCGTGGAACACCAGGTCGCGGAACAGCCGGAGCACGTAGCGCTCGCCCGTCTCGGCCCACTGCGCGTCGCCCTCCCACTCGGGGCGCTCGTGGATGGCGTTCAGCTTGCACAGCAGGCGCACCAAGCGCCCGTTCTCGAGCTCGCGCATGAGGGCGGCCTCCAGGAGGTCCGAGTAGTGGAACGACGCGCCAAGCGCCTCCGCGAGGTGCGGCGCCAGCGCGTGCAGCACGGCGTCCGCGCTCGCGAGCGCCTCGGGCGCGAGCAGCTGCTCGAGGAAGAGGTGCCACTCGGCGCTGTACTTGCCGCGCACCGTCGCGAGGCTCGCGTCCTCGGTGTGCGCGGCCGCGACGTTGTTGCATGCGGTGCACAGCAGCAGGCGCCCCAGCGCGCGCAGATCGTCGCGCTGCCGCTGCACGAGCGCCGCCTGCGCATCGGCCGGGGCCTGCGCGTGGTGCTGCAGGACATCGAAGATCGCACAGCCGCCGAGGCGCACGCGGTGGTGCGCCGTGCGCAGCACCTTGCTCGGCTCGAGGCACTGCGCCGCGAGGCCCGCGGCGTGCACGTCGCGCAGGAGGCCCGCGAGCTGGCACGCATACGTCCACAGCACGCGCTCCGGCACATGCGCCGACACGGGCTGCAGGCGCCCGGTGCGGCGGTCCGGCTGCAGCGGCTTGACGGTCATGTGCTCCATGTAGAGCGTCGTAGCGAGGGGGTGGTAGTCGTACACAAACACGAGCGAGTGGTCGCCGAACGCGTGCGTCGTGAACGCCTCGCGCACCGCCACGAGGCTGGGGTGCCGGATCTTGCGCCAGCGCTCGACGCTCGCGAGCGCCTGCGGCTGCGCGATCGGCACGCCCTCGAGGCGGCGCAGCACGTAGCACTTGCCGTCGAGCGCACACGTCGCCTTGTACGCGTACGTGCGGTAGCCGAACACGCGACTCGGGTCGCCCGACGCGCCGGTAAGCGCGTGCTGCGAGCCATGCGCGAAGCGCGGGTCAAGGAGCGGGTGCGGCGGCGGCGCGTCGCCGCGCTCGAGCGGCACGAGGCTGTGGTACACGTGCAGCGCGCTCGGCAGCGGCGTCGCGGTGCCTGGCTCAGGCGGCGCGCCCGTCGCATACAGCGCCTCCTGCTTGCGGTGCAGCTCCTCGTGCAGCGTCGGGTCCATGAAGAACGCCATCGTCGCGATGTGCGCGGGGTGCATATTGCTGACGTGGGGGAGCGGCGGCGCACACAGGTGGTACTGCAGCGGCTGCCGCACGGCGCGCTCGTCGCGCTCGTACGAGTAGTACGGCACGAACGGCGCGTCGCCCGCCGGCGCCGACGCGGGCGGCACACGACTCGGCACGTCCGCCGGCGGCGTATGCACGCGCATGCCCGCCGACGGGCCCGCGCCGGCACTGCGCGGCACAAAGACGGGCGCCTCGGCGACCCGCGCCTGCAGCGATGGCGTAGAGCGAGGCTGGAACGAGATCGTCGCCAGCGAGGCATTCGAACTTGAGAGCACATTCGAGAGCGAGGTCCCGGTATCCTTCCGGGCAGGGGGGGCGCCGTCCACCGGCCCCGGCGCTGCGCGCGCCTCGGTGCCCATCGTCGCAGCGGAGGTCCGCCGCGGCGCCGCCGGCTCGTTTCGTTGCACGTGACTACTCCAGGAGGAACGAAGCTACGTGGGCGCGCATCGCCTCGCGCGGCACGCGCTGCGCGGCATGCGACGCACGCTCGCGGTGCGGCACGGCCATTGCCGCGTCCATGGCCGCATCGCTGTCGGGCTCGGCCG